TTTTGCTCCTATGCTGCTGCTTGGCCTGCTGTGTTCATCCAGCTCTGCACCTTGTTGTCTCAGATTCTCCAGCATCTGCAGTTCCTACTATCTCTGATTCAACTGGGAGTGAGGTGGTTTATAAAGAAATGCGGTCGATGGAACGTAATTGCGGACACCAAGATGGTTTGAGATGTGTATACTTCAATGCTAGAAGTATCAGAAATAAAGCGGATGAACTTAGAGCATGGGTCGGCACTTGGAACTACAATGTTGTCGCCATTACAGAAACTTGGGTAACTCAGGGAGAGGAATGATTGTTGGAAATTCCGGGATTTAGATGCTTTAAAACAAAAAGGGAGGGTGGAAAAAGAGGCGGGGGAGTGGCCTTGCTAGTCAGGGTGAGTATAGCTGCTACTGAAAGGCAGTTCGAGAATGAGATGTCTACAGAGTCAGTTTGGGTTGAGGTCAGGAACAAGAAAGGAGCAGTCACTTTGGGGGTTTTTTTACAGACCCCCTAATAGTTGCAGAGAAGTAGAGGAGCGGATTGGGAGGCAGATACTGGAAAGGTGCAGAAGTCACAGGGTTGTAGTCATGGGTCACTTCAACTTTCCAAATATTGTTTGGAAACATTTTAGTTGTAACAGTTTAGCTGGCGCAGATTTTGTCCAGTGCGTTCAGGAAGGATTCCTGACGCAGTATGTAGATAGACCAACACGAGGAGAGGCCACTTTGGATTTGGTGCTTGGCAACGAATCGGGCCAAGTGTTTGACCTGTTGGTAGGAGAGCATTTTGGCGGTAGCGATCATAACTCTGTTTCTTTCACGAAAGTCATGGATAAGGATAGGTACATACGGCAGGGTAAAGTTTATAATTGGGGGAAGGGTAATTACAATTCAGTTAGGCAAGAACTGGGTAACATAAACTGGGAACAGATGCTGTCAGGGAAGAGCACTATTGAAATGTGGAGATTGTTTAAGGAATCCATACTGCGTATGCTCGATATGTTTGTCTCTAGCAGGCAGGGAAGATGTGGTCGAGTAAGGGAGCCTTGGTTCTCAAGAGAGGTCGAACAACTAGTTAAGAGGAAGAAGGATTCTTATATAAGGTTTAGGAAACAAGGATCGGAAAAGGCTCTAGAGGGATACGAGATAGCCAGGAAGGTGCTGAAGAAAGGGCTTAGGAGACCTATAAGGGGTCATGAGAAAACCTTGGCGGATAAGATCAAGGAAAACTCCAAGGCTTTTTACACGTATGTACAGAACAAGAGAATGACCAGAGAAAGGGTAGGGCCGATCAAGGATTGTAAAGGGAATTTGTGCACAGAGCCTAAAGAGATAGGAGAGGGTATTCACAGCTGAGAGGGACCTAGTTGTAGAGGAGGACTTTGTGAAACAGGCAGGCAGGCTACAGGAGGTTGATGTTAGCAAAGAAGATGTGCTAGGAATTCTGAAGAAGTTGAAGATAGATAAGTCCCCTGGGCCTGATGGGATTTATCCAAGGATTCTATGGGAAGCGAGGGACGAGATCGCAGGGCCTTTGGCGATGATCTTTTCGTCCTCACTGTCCATGGGTATAGTGCCGGAAGATTGGAAAGAAGCAAACGTCATTCCCTTGTTCAAAAAAGGGAACAGGGATAACCCCGGAAATTACAGGCCAGTTAGTCTTACGTCAGTGGTGGGCAAATTATTGGAAAGGGCTCTGAGAGGCAGGATTTATGATCACTTGGAAAGGCACAGTTTGATTCGTGATAGTCAGCATGGATTTATGAGGGGTAGATCATGCCTCACAAACCTTATTGAATTCTTTGAAGAGGTGACCAAACATGTGGATGAAGGTGGAGCAATGGATGTGGTATACATAGATTTAAGTAAGGCGTTTGATAAGGTTCCCCATGGTAGGCTCATGCAGAAAGTAAGGAGGCATGGGATAGGGGGAAATGTGGCAGATTGGATTCAGAATTGGCTGACCCTTAGAAGACAAAAGGTGGTAGTGGACAGAAAATATTCAACATGGTGCTCAGTTACGAGTGGTGTACCACAAGGATCTGTTCTGGGTCCTCTTCTATTTGTGATTTTTGTAAATGATTTGGATGAAGGAGTGGAACGGTGGATTAGCAAGTTCGCGGACGATACGAAGGTGGGTCACGTTGTGGACAGTGCAGAGGGCTGTTCTAGGTTACAAAGGGGCATTGATAGAATGCAGAGCTGGGCTGAGAAGTGGCAGATGGAGTTTAACCCTGAAAAGTGTGAGGTGATTCATTTTGAAAGGACAAACTTGAAAGCAGAATACAGGGTTAACAGAAAGATTCTTGGCAGTGTGGAGGAGCAGAGGGATCTTGGGTTCATGTTCACAGTTCCCTGAGAACTGCCACCCAGGTAGATAGAGTTGTTAAGAAGGCATATGGTGTGTTAGCTTTCATTAATAGAGGGATTGAGTTCAAGAGCCGTGAAGTTACGCTCCAGCTCTACAAAAGCCTGGTTCGGCCACATCTGGAGTATTGTGTCCAGTTCTGGTCACCTCATTACAGGAAAGATGTGGAAGCGTTAGAAAAGGTGCAGAGGAGATTTACCAGGATGTTGCCTGGAATGGAGGGAAGGTCTTACGAGGAAAGGTTGAGAGAGTTAAGGCTTTTCTCTTTAGAACGACGAAGGATGAGAGGTGACTTGATAGAGGTGTACAAAATGATCAGAGGTATAGATAGAGTAGACAGCCAGAGACTTTTTCCTAGGGTGGAGGTAGCTTTTACGAGGGGACATAGTTTTAAAGTGAAAGGAGGTAGATATCGGGGAGACGTCAGAGGTAGGTTCTTTACTCAGAGAGTGGTTGGGGCGTGGAATGCATTGCCAGAGAGGGTAGTGGAGTTGGCCTCATTAGGGGCATTTAAGCAGCTATTAGATAAGCATATGGATGATAGTATAAGGTAGCGGTGGAGGTTAGATAGACCTTAGGTTTAGGGTAAAAGTTCAGCACAACATAGTGGGCCGAAGGGCCTGTACTGTGCTGTACTGTTCTACGTTCTATGTTCTACTGTCAATTTCTCATTCTCCAGCAGTATGCATTATTAGGTGTGCAAATGGGCCTTCATGATCTCCTTTGGCTCCAAAACATGCATGCAAAATGCCTTTATTTCATCATACCAAAAAAATGGCAATGCAACAGGTATGAACCTGTTTTACAAAATGTCTGCTAAACTGTAGGTTTGAATTTTCCACAATTTATCCAAAACAGCTGGAAATACCTATAAAACAATGCAAAGATTTCATTTAAATTGTACAGAATGTATTGCTCATGTATTATTATGCTGTAATGGTGCTACTTCTACATAATCATTACCCAATCTCTTCTGGGATCAGCAAAGAAAAAAGTAAAATTTTCCTTAGCTTAATTTGAAAAAAAATTCTCAGAAATTCTGCTTGGACTGCTGAATGCAGCTAGGTATGTTTCAGGAAACAATGGTAACTAAGGTACACATATGATTAATGGAAAACTCCCCTCTATATTAAGGCTACACATTAGTTCCCTTCTGAATGTTATCTGCAAATCCTATTCACTACATGTTCCAGCAACTTATTCCAGATGTTGGTAACTTTTCAAGGAGAAGAATGCTTCAATATAAATATAATTCTTTGGTCCCTAGTCCTCTCCAGTTTGCTTAGCATATATATCCTATCTTGATGCACTACAAGCATTCTCTCACCTCAAAAACTTAAAATCAGATTCCTTCAGTATAGCAGTGGGAAAAGTTAAAAAGTGTACACTTCTCTAAAATATGAAACACCAGGTCTCCAAGCATATCTGTTAATTAAGGTCTATTTAAAGTCAGTTTCAATCTAATCAAGTCAAGTGACCACCTTTATTCGGTTCCCATCCTGGGGGATATAATGATCATCTCCTCCAGAGAGAGGAAATCAATGCTGTGTTTCTTTTCTAACATTTTATTACAAATGTGCTAGCTGCATTTTTCTCAGATGTAAAATAGTCTTGTTCTCTGTTGATTGAATCATAATTAACGATGCCAACAATTATTCAACTCCAATTTACTTAAAATGTTGTCAATATATTACAAAACTTACCATATGGATAATCGGGATCTGGACCTGCCAGAATTGCATAAGATATAGCTGCATCTTTTACAGAGGTACAAATTGGACCTGTCAATACAAGCATGTTATTCAGAATATTCAGCTTTGTCCAATACAGCTTAAAATGATACAGCTCATTCCTACTAACTCTGGGGACAAATGAATAAATTGAATAAGAGTGGAGACTCAGCTATTTTGTTACGCTTTTCTGCATCATTATAATACATGAGGGGTCAGTTGTTTGGACAGAGTGATGCCAACAGCATGGGTTCAATTCCCGCACCTGCTGAGGTCAGCACAGAGGACTCTCCTTCTCAATCTCTCCCTTCCCAAGATTTGGTGACCCTCAGATTAAACCACCACCAGTCATGACTCTCTCCAATGAGTCAGCAGTCCCTATAATACACAAACAGAAAATATCCCTACATTCCTTTTGGAAAACAAAGATAGATAAACTGAAAAGTGATCCAATTAAATATTGCAGTTCTACACAGAAGTTTTCTTTTGATCTTCAAGTGCAGTTCCTTGGACTAATAGGTGATAGACCAGGCAGAGCTTGTATTATCATTTTTGCATTGTATTGTGGTAGGAATTTGGAAGCACAACATCACTTAGATTCCTTGGAAGTTCTGAACGGTATCACTGGCATCATTGTAAAAACCAGCATTTGTTGACCATTCATCTGGTGTAGGTACACCCACAGTGCTATTACAAAGGGAGTTCCAGAATTTTGAACCACCAAGAAGGAACGAAAATATAGAGCTCACTCAGGACAGTGGGTGGCTTGAAGGAAACTTGCAGGTGGTTGGGTTTCCATGTATCTTCTGCCCTTGGATTTCTAGGTGGTAAAGATTGCAGATTTGGAAGGTGTTATTGGAGGAGGCTTGGCACGTTCACTCTGCCTTTTATACACATTATATATGTTCCTTGCTGATCCATAAAATTGGACTTATGTACGTAACTTAATGAAGCATAGCAAAATCTTGTCTTACCTAAACTAACAGTAGAGTAGGAAAGAGGATAGGACCCAATGCTGCTGATTCGACCAAATGTAACTGAAAGGAATAGAAACAAAATAAAGTTATCAGACTTTGTGTTTAGCAATAATTAAACTGACAAATATCCAGACCGTATGGCATCAGATGTTCCTTAGACAAAGTCCATGATTTTCTGACCAATTACACATATTGCATATGCCCCAATTTACACTGTGCAAGGGGCCTCACTGGGAGGACAAAGTAAGAAATCATCGTTTTCATAGAATCTCTACAGTGAGGAAACAGGTCCTTCGGCCCAACAAGTCCACACCGACCCTTGGAACATCCCATCCACACCCAACCCCCTATAACCCACCTAATCTACACATCCCTGAACACTACGGGCAATTTAGCGTGGCCAATCCACTTAACCTGCACATCTTTGGGCTGTGGGAGGAAACCGGAGCACCTGGAGGAAACCCTCGCAGACATGGGGAGAATGTGCAAACTCCATACAGACAGTTGCCTGAGGGTGGAATCGAACCTGGGTCCCTCGTGCTGTGAGGCAGCAGTGCTGACTGCTGAGCCACCGTGCTGAGTCAATTTTTACAGCCAATTTTTGGAGTTGATGGCCTGAATTTGAGCCTGGACCAAGTTGCACAATGGGAGTGGGAGAGATGGGCTGCAGCTGTGAAGTTAGGAAACTCAAAAACAGGTCTTCCAAATGCTCTGAAAATTGTGGTAGGGTTCACTTTCACAGTCAGCTTGAGTGAACAGGCTGGGAGGGCAGTCAGTCAAGAAATTGGCTTACAGAGCCAAAGATTGAGACATTAGGTAATGGGGGAGTGGCAGATAGATCTTCAGGAAAATTGGAGATAAATCTTGGCAGCTTGTTGAGCCTGGATGAAGCACTCCTGTTTTTCCCAGCTCAAAAGGGACTTACTTCAGTCCCTTCACATCTTTTAAACATCTCTGTTTTCCAAAATCCAGTTGCTCGTGGTTAAAAAAAAACAGAACACTTATTAAAACAAAGGCACAGACCCACCACCACATTTAATAGACCAACCTGCTTCCCACAATTTTAACTTGGAGTTGTCTGGTACAAGGTGGATTGCTTCCTATACCAGAAACTTTGCATTTGTATCCTATGACATTAGCCCCAAACTGCTCGTTTTAGAGAATTATGATTCAACTTACTATGAGGTAATCTCACCTGACGTAGTTCTAGAACAAAGCAGTCAGGATTCCCCAAAGTATTTTAGGATGTCTGCATTTTTGCCATCAGACCTTAGCCTGCAACATGGATATCAATTATCCCAGGCACCTCCATAAAGGAACTCTGAGTTAAATTGAAAAGGAAATGCACAAAAACCTACAAATAAGCAGATGTCAGGCTGGACACTGGTTTCTGAACGTTGCAAAAATTCCTCACTGCAAGAACGTTTATCAAAATTAAACTACCTTTCAGTCCTACCACACCACAGAATGATGCTGGAATTCTTACTGAACCTCCTCCGTCACTCCCAATCGCCAATGGGCAAAGACCTTTAAAGAAAATGTTACTACAAGTTAAATCCACAGTTAGAACTGTAACAGAACACCAGTAATAAATAGTGTTTTACACATTCTCTTCCTTCTAGAGAATATATCTTTTAATTAAGGATACTTAGACAAGGTTTTCTGATGGATCAGCAATTTACATGGCAAGTAGATAAGCCACAAACTAGACAGGTCTCAGGTTTGTCCTGTCCACGGTGAACTAGTCTATCTGGATGGTGATGGAATACCATCACATAATACGTGCTCGAATGCCAAGTCAGTGCAGAATTGGGCCTGGCTGCACACCTATGAACTCTGACAAGTGTGGTCACTTGCTAAGGTACTGGCCAGCATCCAGCACAAATAGATGCATGTTCTAGTTGCAAAAGACATCAGGAAGACAGAGGAGGAACAATAAACATTCACATTTGGCTTTCAAGTAATTCTTCACTGCAGCCAAACTCAACCCGAGAGATGACAGTGCCTTTACGTGTGTCAGCATTTATTTCGCTCATTTCTAAAAATATTAATCTTTTGGAAACTGTGAAATATAGCACATCCTTATTATGATTCATTCTGATCTGTACTAGCTACAGTTAGCCAAGCAATCCAGGAGCTTCATGTGTTCTAGATAGCCAGCATGGCCTGAATTCTGGCAGTTAGCATGAAGTAAGGCCACTTGCCACTGACGAAGAAAGTTGCACTGAGATTGAGAGATCAGGGATGAAATTATAAACTTTCTCCATGTGGAATGGTTTGGACTATAGTTCAATGGGTTTTCCAATATACAACTGCAATGATGTCGTCAAGCTGCCCAAGCAGCAAATTGCATGAATAGAAAATTCTCACTGCATTCTCCCAGCTTTCCAACTAGGAAATGGAAAGCACCAAAATCAAATTATGTTTACAAAGTGAAATAATTGGAACACACACACATTAGGTTAAGGAAAAAGCTGAAATATCATGAATGATTTTTTAAAAATGTGGTTTAAAAAATTTAGTAATTAATCACAGTGGAGTCATTTAACAGCATTCCACAAATATAAAATTATGGTCAGTGCCAAATCAGGTATTCAGCAATAGTTGTTACTCAGATCAACATCAAACGCTCAGTTGCACTTCATTGGACAAAGCTTTTGTATGAGGCAAGGGTTCCAATAGTGATTCGAGACCTGGAAAAGAACAGGTTTGAAGCAGATCAGTTGATTTTGATAATTGCTGGTACTTGTTGGGTGTTGAGGGTTTGCGACTCTCAGATGACAACTAAAGGATGTCCATTTAATTGTGTGACTGCAGTAAAACCTGAAGCTGGGCTCAGTATGACAGTTTGCTGCCAAAAAATCCACAGACCTTCCAGGCCATTACAGTTACTTAGCTTCCTTCAAACATAGATGTAATCAGCTCATTATCTCTACTACTAGCTACGTGAGCTCTGCCTTCAATACAAACAGATGTTACTACCAGAAAATTTAATTATTTCTATATTCTTCAATAAAATGTTTTTTCTTCAAAAAACCAGATTCATTTTAAAACTTGATGCCAAACAGTTGAAGGAAAAAGTAAAGTCACCGCAGGTCCAGAGGACCATAGGGCTGATCTCTCATTAGAGAGAGACAACTGGTAGTGCCTTACTCTGAAGTTCACCACACCTCAAGAGAGGGGAGAGATCGAGAGGGTAGGTCCTACATGGTAGCCTTAGCCAGTACAGGAATTGAACATGCTGTTGATGTCATTCTCCATTTCAAACTGGCTGTCCAACTACCCTCTGCCAGACAGTGTCACATTCTTGGAAGATTTAAATTCTTACCAGCTGCTACAGCTGCCCCTGAACCACTGGAGCTCCCTCCTGTAAAGCAGTGAGGGTTGTAAGGATTTCTGGGAACACCATGATATCTGTAATGACAAAAGAGTTTGTAATAAATGCCTCCCAGTAGCAGACATTTTTAAATGTACATTTCCATTTTCTTGAGAACACACTCTTTCGTTGCTACGTCTTATGCTGTTATCTTTCAGTACAGATCATCCTAATTCTGCTCATTTGCTGTTTGGAAATGCATTAAAAGCAGAAAGTGCTGGGGAAACTCAGTAGCTCTGGCAGAAGCTGCGGAAAAGAGAAAGAGTTAACGTTACAAGTCCAATATGACTGCCAAATTTTACCAACACTTCCTGTTTTCATTGTAGACCTCAAAAATCATAGATTGTGTTATCTTATCATGTTGATACCGATCTTACTGGAGTACTAGTTCCAGTTCCTGTTTTGTTCTGTCATGTCCATGCACCCTTTTAAATATTTCCTTTTTGTCAAATGTTTATCTACTACCCACTTAAACACTGTTGTGGATTGAGTGTCCATTGCTGCTTTGATTATACAACAGGCCTGATTTTTTCACTCACTGTGTTCAGAATGTTCAGATATATGCTTCTATCGACAGCTGTAAAGGTACTGAAAGTTGCAAGGAGTCAGTCATGCTGGAACAAGGAACTTGTGGTTCATTAGAAACGGCTTCACAGGTCTCAGCCAATGGAGCTGCTGGGATCAACTTGGACAGTTTGCCTGACACTTAAACTGTTATTTACATATTTACTGAGGGTTGCTCCCAGGAAGTAAGGAGTACATCCCTGTAATTCAGAAGGTATATCAAATCATGCCAGTGGTTCCCAGCCTGGCCACACTCCAACAGCATTGCTAATCTCCTATCACCTTTCCGAGGGGTCTATTCCCACCCGTGAAGGGATGGTGGGAGGGGTGAACAGTACTGGGGGGGGAGAAAAGGACTTTACAGGGCTTTGCAGAAGAGGGAGCAGCAACAAAGTTAAACCTTGGAAACACTTATATTCGTTTAACAAGTGACTTCAGACGCAAAGCAATGTTAGTGACTCTTAGCTGCCCTCTGAAATGGCCTATCAAGTCACTTTAGCTGTATCAGACTGCTGAAAGTCTCAAAAAAAGAATGAAATTGGATGAAACATTGGACAGTGACATAGGCAGTGGAAATGATAAATTCAGCCCTGTCGACCTGCAAATTCCATTTGGGGGTTAGTGCAAAACTGGGAGAGTTGTCTCACAAACTAATCAAGCAGCATCCCAACGTCATAATCTTCAGCGGCATCACCAACAATCTTTTCTCCATAAAGGTCAGACATGGGGACTTTTGCTGATGATTGCACAATATTCAGTATCATTTGCAACTCCTCAGATACTGAAGTAAACCATGTCCAAATGCAGCAAGACCTGGACAATATACAGGTTTGGGCTGACATAGAAAGCATGCTGTGTCACACAAGCACCAGGCAATGACCATCCCCAACAAGACAGAATGTAACCAGTGCCTCTCGACATTCAGTGGCATTACCATTGCCGAATCCCTCATTATCAACATCTTCGGGGTTACCATTAATCAGAAATTCAACTAGCCACATAAACATTGTGGCTACAAGAATAGGTCGGAGGCTAATAAGTAACTCACCTCCTGACTCCCCAGAGCTTGTCCACCATCTACAAGGCACAAGTCAGGAATGTGATGGAATACTCCCCACTTGCCTGGATGGGTGCAGCTCCAACAACATTCAGGAAGCTTGACACTATCAGGACATAGCAGCCCGCTTGATTGGCACCACATCCACAAACATCCACTCCCTCTACCACTGATACTCCATATGGATCATCTACTAGATACACTGCAGAAATTCATCAAGGCTCCATAGGCAAGGCATTCCAAACCATGACTTCCACCATCTAGAAGGAAAAGTCCAACAGATATATGGGAACACCAGCATCTGTAAGTCCCCTTCCAGGCCACACACCTTTCCAACTTGGAAATATAACTGCCAATCATTCAGTGTCGCTGGGTCAAAATCAGTGAACTCCCTCCCTAACAGCATTGTGATAGCACCCATACCAAAGCAGCAGTTTAAAAAGACAGCCCTACCTTCTGAAAGTCACTGATGGACAATAGATACAGGCCTAACTGGTGACACTCACATCCCATGAATTAATTTTTAAAAAGTTATTGAAGTCTACAGAGGGATATAGCCAGATTAAGTAAGAAAATGGGAGGTTATGCAACGTGACAGGAAGATAAGAGGAGCTGAATATTATTTAAATGTGGAAAGACTGCAAAAAAGCTACAACACAGAGGGATTTGGGGCCCTTGTGTAGCGATCACAAAAAGCTAGGAGCTAAGTTCAGCAGGTATTAGGAAGGTAAATGGAATGTTGGCCGTTATTTTAAAAGGAATGGAATATACAGATACTATACAAGGCTCTAGTCAGACCTCAGCTGGAATACTGTGAGCATTTTAGTTCCCTTATCTAAGAAAAGATACACTGACACTGGAGGCATTCCAGAGAAGGTTCACTGGGCTGCTCCCAGGTATGAAGGGATTTTCTCACGAGGAGAGGTGAAGTAGATTGGGCCTGTACTCACTGGAATTTAGAAGAATGAGATGCAACCTTATTGAAACATTCAAGATTCTTAAGAGGCTTGACAAGTTAGATGTGGAGAGATTGTTCCACAATGGGAAACAGTCTTGGACCAGAGGGCATATCTCAGAGTAAGGAGTCACCCAATTAAGACAGAAAATAATTTTTTTTCTCTCAGAGGGTGGTGAATCTGTGGAGTTCTTTATTGCAGGGTTGTTAAGTAAATTCAAGGCTCAGATAAACAGATTTTTAAACAGCAAAGAAATCGAGGGTTATAGGGAAAAGGCAGGAAAGTGGAGTTGAAGATTATCAGATTAGCCACGATCTCATTGAATGGAGGAGCAGACTTGTTGGGCTGAAAAGCCAACTTCGACCCCTAAATTATATGGAATTATGGCCTAACTGAAGACAAAACATGTAGCCAACTTTGCAGTCACAACAAAAGGGCAGGGCTTCACCAGAATTACAACTAGCCATGAGCTCTTCATACTGACCCTGCCAGTGCACAAAAACACATTCCTGCTGATGGCATGGACAGGGTGTAATTCAAAATGCAGCCCGAAATTTATAGCACAATTTCACGGCTGACATGAGGATTGGGCCATTTATCATGTCAGAATCCAAATAATCCACATAATTTGCAATTATGTTAATTTTCTACCAAAAATGTAAAGAAGGAACAGCAGTCATCATGTAGTTTTTTTCCTATATTCATTCATGGGAGGAGCGCATCGTTGGCTAGGCAGCCTTTATTGCTCATCCCTACTCGCCCAGAATAACATGGCTAAGCATGTCAGTAATGTAAAAAACAAAAAATATTTGTATTGTACTTTTTGGCAAAATATGGCAGCCATAATGTCAGCTGCCTAGGCCCTACCAGCTGGAATTTCCCCCCTAAACCTCTGAAGTTCTTTTTCATCCTTTCACTTTTTAAAGTCTACTCCTTTGACAAAGCTTTTGATCATTTGCCATGCACCCCTCCCCCACTTCTGTAACGTGCATTGGGATGTTTTACCATGTTCTATATGTGCAAATGGTTGTTGTTTTTGTTGATTACAGCATATGGCCCATAGGGAACAGAATTATGAAATAACCTGCTGTTTGCATATGGAGTTAAAACTGATACAATTATAAGTTAGGGATCTCATAGTTTCACCTGTTGACGTTGCAGCCAGTTACACCTAACCCAAGCTCATGCATGTTGGATACACCAATAATAATCGCTCCAGACTCCCGCAACTTTCTTGTAATTGTGGCATCCTCAGTTTCTTGCTCTTCACCAAGATAAAGAGTTCCCACCCGATGATGAAATGGAACCTATACAGACATAAATAATGTTACCAAAAGAAATTTCTTAAGCAACAAGTGCTTCTCGTTATCCAGCTAAGGCAAACACATTAATACAACGATTGCAATGGGGCTTTGAATGTAACAGTCAAATGTAGGAATGAGCATCTGAAATCTTTAAATTTCAACAGCAAATTTACGATCTATAGCAATTTCCAAATGGCTCCATTGAACAGAAAAGTGAAAAGATCTAGATGGTTTATTTGAGCTGTATCCGGAATCAAAGTCCAGATCTCTAACCACTAACCACTAACAGGTATGGTTTATTCACTAATGGTGATTCTACATCAACAGAAGCAATTTTCAAAGACGAAGAAGCCCACTGCACAATAAACAAATTTGTTTAGTAACTAAACTCGCTAAACATGACAGAAGTTAAAACATTTAAAATTTTATTCATTCATCAGTTATGTGCCCTTATATAGGTCAGTTAGTTCCCAAGCAATAAGACTTCAGTACAATATTATAGGCTGCCAAATATAATACATAAAGCATTACAAATTCTCCAATCCAAAAATACAAACTCCAGAAACATCAGTTGTCTTAAAATATTCTGAGCTAACTCAAGCAACACACAGACCCACCACGCGATTTTTCAGGCACTGCAACAAATCAAAAAGACAACGATCATCAGACTGAGGGTGGAAAAATGGTGGCTGATGGTGAAGAGGGGGTGTGACAGTGACTATGTAGTCACATTATTGGCAAATAGGCAAAATGCCACATGACATTACAAAGCCACTTGATTTCTCTTACTATGCAGTCCCTGACTTTCTCCATCTCTCTACTTCTCCAACTTTTTCTGTTCCAAACTTTTTTCACCATCTTGCTCACCCTCTTATTCGTTCTACATCTGTCTATTTCTCCATTTCTCTCTCAACCTCTCTCTGACTAGGGTAGCATGGTGGCTCAGTGGTTAGCACTGCTGCCTCACAGCGCCAGAAACCCAGGTTCAAATTCCACATAAACATTATTCCCGCGTCTTCCAGCATGGGCTTGATGGGCCGAATGGCATGCTTCCACACTCTAGGGATTCTATGATTCTATGACTCTCAAGCACAAACATGGAACATACAGTACCTGAATAAGTAAAACCAATTTTACTAGTGCTATGTAATATTTTATATTGCAGATAACATAGAACATAGAACAGTGCAGCACAGTGTAGGCCCTTCAGCCCACGATTTTCTGCCGACCCTATCCTACTCAGATCAAACTACCCTGCATACCCTACATTACACTATCATCCATGTGCCTATCCAAGAGTCGTTTGAAAGTCTCTAAAGTATCTGACTCCACTACCATTGCCGGCAGCGCATTCCACACGCCCATCACTCACGTTTTATATCTACAGTATTTTCCAGTTTTCACACTTGCGATTAGGCACTCTAATGTAATATTATAATCCACAAAATTCCACCATCCATGAATAACTTGATTCCTAAGAATTTCAGACTGGAGAGATTATACTGTACCGTAAAATGACTTTGGACTGTTATGAATGGGTAGAAGCAGAATGATAATTTGCATTTACATTGCATCATTAACAAAGAAAAATGTGCAAAGGCTCACCACAGAAGTGAAATCTGACAAAAATGATCACAGAGCCCAATAGGGAGCTATTAGTAATGGTGATTGGAAGTTTGGTTAAAGAGCTAGATATTCGGAAGGTTTTTAAAGAAGGAGATGAAAAGATGGACATGTGAAGAGAGGAAATGCTTAAGCTCAAAGGTTTAGACCATTAAGCTATTGTAGGGCAGACAGAATGGGGACATGAAAGAGGACAGAGTTCAAAACATGCGGAGCTATCAGATAGTTTAGGGCTGAAAATGGTCATTTAATGGAATTTGATGTTGGTTAGCACACAGGATATGAATGACAAAAAGTAGAGAATGCTGGCCAGGAGAAAATTCAAGCCACAAAAGCATGGATGAGGGTATGAGTAGTAGATGAATTTCATTACTCAGTTTGCAATTCTATGTAGCATTTCTGTAAAGAGCAATTTTATTAATAAATGAAAAGGCAAGGGGTATTATTCCTACAAATCATACACATCATCATGCTTTCTGCCATCTTCTTCAATGTGATAAAGAGCACAAATCTTATATTCTCCCACAATGAAAGAAATTACTAAAATTTCGAATTAAAAATGAAAAATCCAACATTTTTGGAGGTATCATGACAGTAAAGATATCTGAAGTAACAAATGTAAATTCTCTGGTACCTGGGAGTCGCATGTCAAAACCTTTAATGGCAACTTGTCTTTAAGAGAACAATATAGCCTCACATTACAGCTTTTAGATTTTTTTAAAAGATAAGACTTACAAGTGCAAACACTAACCAGAAGAGTAATTATCCAATGATTATGACCTGACGTTTTGCAATAATATGTGAAGTTTGCGTTGTTGTAACATCTCTCAAGGCCAACCTCAGTGGCCTCAACATTTCAGTGAAAAAGCAGCCTCTTAATACACATCTAATTGCGAAGTGAAAAGTTCTTTTGGGAGGCACTAAAGCAGTCCTTCCACCCCTAAATCCTCTTAAACAATAGGAATGGGTTCTACTGTGAGATGTTCATTCGCTTTCAGCAAGGCGCTAACACACCACTAAACAAAAATTGACTTCTAGCTACCTCATCCTTTGGAAAGAATTTTGTATATCATACCCCCAACATTGAGTAAATATGTTACTGCAGTTCTGCTTTTCTCCCTTCTTGCACATCCAAATGCCCATTATTTTCCTACAAAAATCTAAAAGTGCCAACAGCACTTCTGGTCGCCACACTACCAGAAGGACGTGGTGGCTTTGGAGAGGGTACAAAAAAGATTTACCAGGATGTTGCCTGGTATGGAGGGCATTAGCTATGAGGAGAGGTTGGAGAAACTTGGGTTGTTCTCACTGGAACGACGGAGGTTGAGGGGCGACCTGATAGAGGTCTACAAGATTATGAAGGGCATGGACAAGCTGGACAGTCAGAAGCTTTTTCCCCAGCGTGGAAGAGTCAGTTACTAGGGGCCATGGGTTTAAGGTGCGAGGGGCAAGGTTTAAAGGTGATGTATGAGGCAAGTTTTTACACAGAGGGTGCTGGGTGCCTGGAACTCGCTGCCGGGCGAGGTAGTGGAACCAGATACAATAGTGACTTTTAAAGGGCATCTTGACAAATATAGGAATAGGATGGGAATAGAGGAATACGGTCCCCGGAAGAGTAGGGGGTTTTAGTTGTGACGGGCAGCATGTCGGTACAGGGTTGGAGGGCCGAAGGGCCTGTTCCTGTACTGTAATTTTCTTTGTTCTTTAGCACAAAGACTGTTAACGTTTAAGAAGTCCTGCTGTACACATTTTAAAGCAACTACAAATGAGCAATTACTGCAGTATTGACAGCACCTCCCATATGCTGAAAGCAAATAAAAATGAAATGCTGAACTCAAACAGACAGTGGATACATTGCCAAAATACAAAACTCAGACCTAAACTAAAAACAAAATAAATTTTAATATACAATTTAAAGTTTTAGACATTCAAGAAAATCAGCAGATGGATTAAGAATTTGACTTAATTTGCTCTGATATTTTAAATTATTCAGTTAAAAATAATAAAATTGCCACATGAGGGTACCAATTCTGAACAGGAGGCATCAGAGTGAATCATTATGTAGTTGGATCTCACACATCAGTGGGCCAAAAACAAACAAGAGATCATACAAAGGGCAGTGGGCTCAGTGTTTGGAACACACCTAAATTAAGAAACAACATTTCAAAACAACTTAATGAAACTAAGACATTTTGTATAAAAGAATTTTCACAGAATGACAGAAATTAAAGCACAGAAGGAGGTTTTTCGACACCCTGGTGCTTGTGCCGATGCTGACACTGTTTTCTGTGATCCCATTCACTAGATCATGTCATAGTCCTTCTTTTCAACTATTTGCCCCACTCCCATTTAAATAACATTATTGTCTCTTGCCTCTATAGCCAATTTATTTGCCTGGCACTTTTGATATAATCAATTTCAGTCTCCTTGGGCTGCTTCTTGCCAAGTTTGTCTGAACCCCAATTCTGAGCTCAGTTTCAAAATGGGAATCCAAAAGTGACTATGGCAAGATGTTGGTCACAGGTTGGCCTGCAGCTTTGTATCTAAGGAAGCAGAAAAGTCACTTTTGGCAACAGTTGAGCTTTGACCTCAACAGGATGCCCATTCGAAAGCTAATGATGGCATTACCAATTACTCAGCTTACAGGGGATCCCCGATTTCTGAACATCCGCCTTATGAACATTTGTACTTACAAATGTGACCCCCTACAGTAGTGTACTAATAACGCATGAGCGTTTCCTTGTACTTATAACCTTCTAGGTTATATCGTCCTGCACTGTGTTCCAACTTGTGTACAAATCGACTGGTGAACAGACTCAAGGGTGGAACTTATTGCCAACCCAAGGACTGCCTGTAATTAGCCAGCCACCATAGCTCAGCAGAAACTGATACAAGTCATGTTCCCATGGTTCACCCTATCTTATTCATTGCACCCCTTGCAGCTTACCAAGGATAATTAGGCAACACATGGTGGAATTGCAGCAACACACACATCCCATGAACAAGTGAAACAAAGTTCCAAGATAGTAGGAACTGCAGATGCTGGAGAATCTGAGATAACAAAGTGTAAAGCTGGATAAACACAGCCAGCCAAGCAGCATCATAGGAGCAGGAAGGCCGATGCTTCGGGCCTAGACCCTTCATCAGAAATCTCTGAAATCAGAAATTTCCGATGGAGGGTCTAGGCCCAAAGCGTCGGCCTTCCTGCTCCTATGATGCTGCTTGGCCTGCTGTGTTCATCCAGCTCTACACTTTGAAACAAAGTCCTCCCTTGTCTTCCTTCCCTTACATCAGCTGTCGTTTACTTTTAGCACCTCACCTCTGAGTAAAAGGTTGTGCATTTAAATCCTATTCCAGGACTTCAGCACAAAAATACCCTACAATATTGAGGAAGCACTGTACTGTTAGAGATGCTATCTTTGAGAAAGACAGATCATATGATGGTAAGAAAGAGTAAGGCATTATGTGGTCAGAGTAAGAAGGGCCGCAATAATACTCAGATTAGCTTTACAGTGCATGTATGCAAACGCATGGAGCGTGTTAAATAAGATTAGTGATCTGTAGACAGTTCGACGTAAAGGATAGAACGTCATGGCGATAATGCAGATCTGACTCGAAAAGGAAAGTATAGAATTGGATATTAAATGACCCTGGAAAGAATGTGTTCAGGAAAGGTAGGGAGGGAAAGAAAGGATGGTGCACCCTTAATTAAGGGCAATATTACAGGTCTGGAGAGAGAGAGAGGATAAAATTGAGGACTGAATCTATTTGGTTAGACAAAAAGGTACCATTACACTAAAAACTGTATTCAATAGGCGACAATTAGTAAGAAATATAGGAGGGACAAATTTGCAACAAAATTACAGGGAGGTGCAAAAGTCATAGATTTTTGGTCATCAGGGAATTTAATTATCCTAATTTATATTGGAATAGCACCATTCTATAGGGCAGAGAAGAGAAAGAGTTGCTGAAGTGTAGTGGTTCAGAAAGGCAGCTCAACACACCTTCTCAAAGGCATTTGCGAATGGGCAATACATTCTGGCCTAGGTAGCAATGTATACATCCCATGAATTAATTAATAAAAAAGGGACTTCAGTTATGTAGGCAGATTGGAGAAGCTGCAGCTGAGCTTTTCGAAGAGAAAGTGAGGACATTTTGTAGAGTTGTTCAAAAATCATGATGTGTTCAGACAAAGAAGAAAGGGAGAAACTCTTTCCATTAGCAGAAGAACTAGAGCACACCGATTTAGTTTAGGGGCAAAAGGACCAAAGACAACATGCAAGTGGTTAGGATTTGAAATTCACAGTTGGAGAATGTGATTCAATCATGAAACATGAATTAGATAAGTAACTCAACAGAGTGGTGAAATTGTAGGAATAAAGGAAATGGCAGGGAAGTGGAAATGGCGGAGAAGTGGAACTGGCTAAGCTGCATTTACACATATAGGCACGCAGGACTGAATAGCCTCCTTCTGTGAAGAAGCTGTTAGCAATCTATTCAAACAGTATTATACTCACTACTTTTATTTCCTCCTTCAAGCAGACAGGAATTCCATCCAGTGGGGACAGAGGCTCATTAGCTTGATATCGAGCAGTGGAGGCTTCTGCCATCTACACATAGGAACAGAATGTCTGTGTTGAAATGTGGCAGAAAATTACGTCAGCCCAAGTGTTATGTCATTTCAAACATTTTTCTGGCATTGCCAATTTCAATGACGCATCAGTACAGGGATTGCCAAGAAACAAAAGGTGAAAAGTCTATGACACATAAGCAGAAGTAGGCCATACAGCTCATCCTGTCTGCTCCACCATTCAACGAGATCATGGTCTGAAAATCCACAAATCCATATTCCTGCCTCGTCACCATAACCTCTGATTTTGTTAATAATTAAAAACCTGATTTTCTCAGCTTTTAGTACATTTGACAGCCTTCTGCACTGAAGGCCTCTATAGATTCACTATCCTCAGAGATGAAATTTCTCCTTTTCAGTTTTAAACGGGTGACCCCTTAATCTGAGATTACCTCTGTTTCTAGACTCTCCCACAAGTGAAACAATTTCTCCTTTCAAGTCTGCTAAGAATCTTATTTGTTTCAATAAGGTCTCCTTTCATGCTTCAAAACTCCAGAGTACAAACCCAATCTACTAAACTTCCCTTCATGAGAAAATACCTTCATATTTAGAATTAATCTTATGAACCTTCTCTGAATTGCCTCCAACGCCAGCATATTTTCCCCTTAGGTAAGGGGACCAAAACTGTTCACAGTATTCCAGATGTGATCTAAATAGTGCTGTGCGTAGTTTTAGCAAGACCTCCCTAATTTTATATTCCACTCCCTTAGAAATGAAGGCCAACAGTCCATCTACCTTCCCTATTACCTGCTAATTTTGGATGTTAGCTTTTTGTGATTCACGCATGAGAACTCCCAAACCCCTTTGTCCTGCAGCCTTCAGGCATCAGTAACTTTTCCACTTATATATGTATTTATTATTCTCTATAACAAAAATATATTCACATAGATTAAATGGTAACTTGAAGGACAGAGTGAAAACTAAACGTAACAGGACCCACTGATGGGGGAGGATGGTGCTGCACCAAAGGTGGATAAGCACAGAGTGAATAGATCAGAGGAAGTTAATAGCTACGTAGAAATAGCTGCTATAGGTAAGTTGCAAGGAGAGTAAAGTAGAAAGAAACTTTTACAAAAAGAAGATCAGGACACAGCTTAGCACACAGTCTGTTTATGCAATTTCTCCCTTTGAGTGATGGATTGGTTTCTATTATTTTCATTTACGTTCATTTATTGAGCATGTAATACATCAGAAATTGGCCCTCTCTACATTTTGCATTTGTGTTTAACTAGTATCCCAGGCAATTGTTTTTGTTACTACCAGTCAAAGGTACAGCAGGTATTATTCTCAGGAATGTAAAGTAGAACAGTGTGTGATCTGTAGAATTTGCCACAGTATTTATCCTTGCAGTGAAGTAGGACAGAAAGGTCTCTATTTTGCTAGGTATTATTCCTCTTCTGGCTTTGAAAGGTACACAATCGTACAAGAACAGCTTCTGGCGACCTTACAAGCAGAAAGTTGGAAGAAAGGTCCATAGTTTTAAGCAAATTCCTAACAGTGTGCTGATAAATTAGAGTTGCTGCTAAATTATTACAAGGTTTGTTCCTTTCATACTCAAGTTAAATATAATTCTTTTCTGCAGCCAATCTATTACTAATCACACCGTTTCAAAATAACTGTCAGTAAAGGTCACATTAAATGAACATTGTAAAAGTTGGTTCTGCGACTGTATTCCCAACCAACAATTGCAATCAAGCTTGCTCTGCAAAACATACATAGGTTAGCTTTGCACTCCAGAAAATTAAAATCAGCACCGAAATACAGACCTTCATTTTGTCCAGTTCTGACCCCAATAAAAGAAATGAAAATGATAGCATTTCTGTGACTCACGAGAAGTGCCAATTCCAGTGAGCATGTAAAATATTGAATTGTGTACCTGCAATTTCTTCAGCTTTTCCCATTTGGAACACCAAATCATTGAATTACCCACACTTTCACCCATCCTGTTCTAAAGCCAAAGATTTTTTTAAAATTATGAAGTGCAGAGTAAAAATGAAATGACATGAAAGTTGTTGAATGTGGAGGCGAGTAGGGGTCGTTAGCGCATGTACAGCTCCTGAAACAGCTTAAAGTAAAATATAACTGAGACACAGATTCAAACCCTAATTATGCTACATTGAAGGATAAGAAGAGATTGCTACAATCAGCACCCCTTTGTTAATGAGAAAATCAAGATTCCCACTCCCAACAGCCATTAGGCTAGAAAGAGCACTTTTAGGCTTGAATCAGAGATAGTAGGAACTGCAGATGCTGGAGAATCCGAGACAACAAGGTGCAGGGCTGGATGAACACAGCAGGCCAAGCAGCATCATAGGAGCAGAGAGGCTGACGTTTCGGGCCTAGACCCTTCATCAGAAAAGGCTTGGTCTGGCTTAGGTGAGTTATTCAATCAGTGTCAGTCTTTTGCCAATCTTACCAACCACCATTGGCTGGGCTTATAAAAACAAACACTTCAAATGAGGCATTTTGCAAATTTCTCACACCAATAAAAACTTGTCCAGCAGGGACCAAGTGAGAAGCAGAAACCACAGAGATGAGGAAAGAATGGTGCAGGGACTGAAGAATGAAGAGAAATTCAGATGTGCAGTGAAGCATGCAAGAGAAAATTTTAGACACAGAGGAATAGGGATTACTTTGATGTTAATTCTTCAATGAAAATGTGTTCCAGACATCTAGAATTTTGCATCAACAATTGTACACGTGTGCACTGAGACAATCATTGACTGAAATATTAAAGTCAAGATGCTATGTTGTTTAATAAATTGAAAGCAACATACTTCAGATCACCGGTATTTGAAGTAAAACCAAGCTGCTGGAAAACTCAACAGCTACAACAGCATTGCTAGAGAGAGAAAGAGACATTCTTCTCTCCATAGATGCCACCCGACTTGCTGACTTTCTCTAGCACTTTAGTTTTTACTACTACATTCTTACACTCATCGCTCATAAAAAGTTCATCACACATTCCAGCCATTAAAATCTCCTTAGTAAACATCGAAGGCTCCACAGTGGATGTAAGAAGAATTACTATTATTCTTGATATATAAAATATATTACCAACCTTCATTATTAGGTGAGCCTCGTATTGCACAATAGCACGCAATGGGATAACTGCTTCATCAGCATCTTCTAGAGCGTTTATTACATTCGTAGCAACTTGGGTTGGAGTAATCTTACCTGACCTGTACAAGTACAAAACTGAATAGGTTAGAATAGTTTATTTAAATATATTGTTAATGAACAGATCAATTGATTAACTGAGACCAACATACTAAGCATTATAGACAAGTTACCCAACATATTACTTCTTTACCTGATACTAGTACTGGCAAAGTACCTGTTGTTGACAATGGGCATAGATGAGACAATGTTTAAAAACACTGTCATGTAGTTAAGGGGGTGGAAAAAACACATTTTCAACTTCACCCTTGAATGCACTTCAGGCCAATACAATGAAAATTGGACTTTCAGCTGCACTAGCTTAATGGGCGATAAGAATGAAAATTTACCAGTTCTTCTGTGCAGTTTATCCAGTTATCCATGCTGAATTAGACACAAAGTATCCAAAGATCGGTATTTTATAAGAGAACATAACATTCCAGTTTCATTTACAGAATGAAACAAAATTCAGAACATGAAGAGGGTCCTTGGCTCAGTGTTTCACATAATGTTCTATAGTGGGTTTCTCTCCCACATCATCTGTTAATCCCATACGTTTCCTTGTAAGAAAAATCGAAAGTTATTTAATATTGCTTTAATTCTAAATCTGGCTTCTCTGTAGTTATTTATTTTCAAATCACCCCTGAATCAACTTCATTTTCTCAGAATTTGTTCCACAAATCCATTAGCTTGTTGAAACAAAAAAAAGATTTTTCCAAACTACGCTTTTGAAAGTTTTTTTTTGGTGGGGGTCTTGAAGAGGCATTAAAGAAATAATTAAATTGCATTTTCAATTTACATACTTACTTGTATCCTTCCAGAAAATCAGAGATGGTGTTGAAGTTAAATCCAGGCCTTTCTTCAGTCATACTGCAAATTATATACGTGAATGTTACTTGGCAAATTAAATCAATTTATATTTTAAAAAAGGCCCAAAGATTAGAACTTTTAAACACCTTGACAGATCCTTTTGATAATTGCTTCTAACAGGTCTGTTGACAGTTACAATGAGTTTGACAGTAATGATATGTTATGGAATTGGTAAAAGTAGACAAAAAAGGGCACATTACCCCCACCAAAGGTAACTAGATTTACCCCAATGGTGTCCTGGAAACAGATTCAAGGGGTACCCCTGCTGTCCAAATGAATCCACAAAGTCAAACCTGCTCTTACCGAGTTTAATCTGTACAAAATCCCACTTCAATAGAGACAGTCGATCATTAGAATGGACAACTGCATTGTAAGACATGAATACGTGAAATGCAATCCTGCCAAAATGGGGAGTGGGACTTATAACCATAGGCCATTATGGTGAAAATCTAGGCACTAATTTCAGAAATGAAAAGCCCACATCTTTAATATATATTATGATATTAAAGGCTAGTGATCAACTCTGTGCATCTTCCCTAAACTGCCTCCAGTGCATCAACATTGTCCTCGAATCTCTAAAACTGCTAACTTGTTGGTCCCAAAAGCATGGTCTCCACCTTAAAAAATATCATCATCCTCTGAATATGGAGTCACTGGCAGTATTTATTTCCATTCCTGAGAAAATGGCAAAAGGACTCATCGGAATATTTTACAAATTTAACACAATTTCCTCTTTCTGAGTTGGTGGTTCAACATTTTGTTGTATCTGCTGTGTTGTATTGGTTCATCATGTTTAAAAGTAATATAGGCCTGGATTTTCCACACAACATTCATTATTGTTGAATTGCAAGTTCAAATGTTTCTGCACCTCAATGCTATTCTGTATTTCAGGCCAAGTCTTCAAAGCCCAGCTTCTTCAGAAATGCAGAGACATCAGCTACTATCTCTGATTCAGTTTATAGGAGGGCTTCAACACAGCTCTGTGGTGTCAGGATGGGGAGGACTGGATATGTCTCCTTTCCACAATACTATCTGCTCTAATGCTAGTTCAAACATTCATGTGAAGGTGTGAGTGGATTCATGAAAGAACAGATTGGATGAGTAGGGTAGACAAAGTGGATATTTGGCTCTGTTTAAACTTCTTCAGATTCAACTTTTCAGTGACAGTCAGGTCAAGTAGGAAACTAATAAGAGGTAGTCAGATCCAGGTTGAGAGGCTAGTCAGCAGTGTAACAAAAACAGAAATTGCTGGAGAAACTCAGCAGGACTGGCAGGGTCTATGAAAATAAAGCAGAATTAGCATTGAGGACAATGACTCTCCACGAGAACTGCTTTCTCCCCAATTGCTGTTTTTGTTTCAGATCTCCAGCATCCGCAGTTATATGTTTTATTTTAATGAGGGGTGTAGCTGTGTGGTTGGAGGGGGGCTGGTAATCAGGAGTTGAAAGAGGCAGTCAGAGGTGGGCTCAGTGAGAGTGACTAGGGTGATGTCTGTTGTGCAGTTACCCAAAAGGTGGACTAGGTTCTAATCTGTCTAACATTTCCCACATGACTCTTCAGATAGCATGAATTCAAACTTCCAAGACATTTCCAGCATAGGTCACCGCACTGGGACTTTCATAGGGTCTCAACATGCATTCAGAGTTGTATGTCCTGTCTCGGACAACCTAGAGACTGGAAAATCTGACCATGATGTCAGCCTCAAAACTCTACAGAAACTCTGACCAGCTAACTAAGTTAATGAGTGACAGTAACGTGGATATGGCTTGGTTGTAATTTCATGAAGATTAATTTTGTACACAAGTCCTTGAAAACATTAATACTTATGAAATTAAAGGAAAATTAGCTACCTTGTTTGACATTTGTTTGGCAGCAAAGGGCAAAAAGAGAAATCTTTAAAAAGGCTTAAAAGGAAAGAAATTGCTTCCTGTTTATATGAGGCATGTTACAGATACTGATAGCGGCAAGTTCATGACTTGCCAAACGGAAATTAACTGTATTCAAAGGAAGTGAGAGAGAAAAAAAAAACAATGAATACAGAAAATTAGCATATGTTAATATAATGTTTAATGTCCATAAATACAAAGATATAAAAAGATTGGGTCCTTTTGACAAAAGGGCAAAGAATAGAGATATCACCTTTGACACCCAGTCAAATCAGTTATGGATGTACCTATAACCACCGTTGAACAGCACAGTACTGTGGCAAGACAGATACTGCAACAGGAGTGCAAGCAATCTCTGCTGCCTTCTTATATTCAAAGTGATGAAAGCACCTAACATTCAGGCCAGCACCTTTTACCAATTCCAACACTGATTCCTGCAATAATATAATGTAGAGGTGACAAGGTCAGAAGTCACACTACACCAGGTTGTAGTCCCAACAGGTTTATTTGAAACAAGGAACAAAAACAAAGTTGCTGGAAAAGCTCAGCAGGTCTGGCAGCATCTGTGGAGGAGAAAACAGAGTTAACATTTCGGGTCCGGTGACCCTTCCTCAGAATGAAATGCTGAGCTTTTCCAGCAACTTTGTTTTTGTTCCTGATTTACAGCATCTGCAGTTCTTTTGGTTTTTATTTAGGTTTATTTGAAATCAGAGATAGTAGGAACTGCCGATGCTGGAGAATCTGAGATAACAAGGTGTAGAGCTGGATGAACACAGCAGGCCAAGCAGCATCAGAGGAGCAGGAAAGCTGACGTTTCGGGTCTGGACCCTTCTTCAGAAATGGGGGAGGGGAAGGGAATCCTGAAATAAATAGGGAGAGAGGGGAAGCCGAATGGAAGATGGATAAAGGAGAAGATAGGTGGAGAGGAGACAGACAGGTCAAAGAGGCGGGGATGGAACCAGTAAAGGTGAGTGTAGGTGGGGAGTTAGGGAGGAGATAGGTCAGTCAAGAGAAGATGGACAGGTCAAGGAGGCGGGATGAGGCTGGTAGGTAGGAGGTGGGGGTGGGGGTTGAGGTGGGAGGAGGGGATAGGTGGGAGGAAGGACAGGTTAGGGAGGCGGGGACAAGCTGGGCTGGTTTTGGGATGGGGACAGGGGAGGGGAGATTTTGAAGCTTGTGAAGTCCACACTGATACCATTGGGCTGCAGGGTTCCCAAGCAAAATATGAGATGCTGTTCCTGCAACCTTCGGGTGGCATCGTTGTGGCACTGGAGGAGGCCCAGGATGGACATGTTGTCCAAGGAGTGGGAGGGGGAGTTGAAATGGTTTGCGACTGGGAAGTGCAGTCGTTTGTCACAAACCAAGCGTAGGTGTTCCACAAACTAGTCTCCAAGCCTCCACTTGGTTTCCCCGATGTAGAGAAGGCCACATTGGGAACAGCAGATACAGGATACCACATTAAACAGATGTTCACCTGCACATCTGCTAATGTGGAAGGTTTTCTTGGGGCCTGGGATGGGGGTGAGGGGGGAGGTGTAGGGGCAGGTGTAGCACTTCCTGCAGTTGCAGGGAAAGGTGCCGGGGGTGGTGGGGCTAGTGAGGAGTGTGGAGCAGACAAGGGAGTCACAGAAAGAGCAGTCCCTCCAGAAAGCAGATAAGGGAGGGGAGGGAAAACTGTCCTTGGTAGTGGGGTCAGATTGCAGATGGCGGAAGTGGCGGAGGATGATGCGTTGAATCTGGAGGTTGGTGGGGTGGTACGTGAGGATGAGGGGGATTCTGTTTTTGTTGTTATTGCGGGGAGGGGTGTGAGGGACGAGTTGCGGGAAACGCGAGAGATGCGGTCGAGAGCGTTTTTGACCACTGTGGAGAGGAAGTTGCGGTCCTTGAAAAACGAAGACATTTATGCCTCATCTCGGGAGCAGATGCAGCGGAGGCGAAGGAATTGGGAATAGGGGATGGCATTTTTGCAGGAAGGTGGGTGAGAGGAGGTGTATTCTAGGTAGCTGTGGGAGTTGGTTGGCTTGAAATAGATATCGGTTTCCAGGTGGTTGCCAGAGATGGAAACAGAGAAGTCCAGGAAGGAGAGAGAGGTATCGGAGATGGTCCAGGTGAACTTAACTTTGGGGTGGAAGGTGTTAGTAAAGTGGATCACCAGCTTTCAGAGCACTGCTCCTTCGTCAGGTGAAGTCACTTCACTTGAGTGTCTCCTTTTAAATCTTTTGCAACTTGGTTTGCCCAAGACTCCACAATGGATGAGGTGCAAGTTATTATTGAGATAACCCAAACCATGTGACTTCAGCTGACAAAGGAGCAGCACTCCGAAAGCTTGTTCTTTCAAATAAACCTGTTGGGACTATAACCTGGTGTCATGTGGCTTCTGATTTTGCAACAATATAGCCTGTACTTTTTGATATGGTTTGGACTATCTCAGTAATAACTTGCACCTCATCCATTTTGGAGTGTTAAGCAAACCAATTTGCAAAAGATTTAAAAGGAGACACTCAAGTTTTTTGAAAATTGAACTTACAAATTCCTTGTTTTACTAGGTTTATAAACTACACATTAAAGCGCTACTTTCTTTGCAATTTAACTATACAGTCTTTATCAAACAATTCAAATGTAAATTATGCTGCAGATTGTATAAAGCACATGTTTATACAATCATGACTCATGTTCATTCATTAAAATTCACAGGTCTGGCAACAGTCTCAGAATCAAAGCATTAGTGGTTTAAGGTTTGTAAATATGTGCATAACTTTGGAAACAAGAACACCTATTGAAAACATCTCTGGCTAAACCTTACCCAGCCTTTATTACCCACCTCAATTGTACGACTTCATTTAGAATGCTGTCACTTGTCCTATCTCTTGGTGGTTCACTGTTTCCATCAGGAACAACAACAGGAATAAACACTGGGTCTTCTGGAATAACTAGGTGCCGCAACAAGGTAAGATTAGTCATCCTAGAAAGAGGAGCACATTTCTTTTTAAATTGATGTTAAATTGCTGTTCAATTCTTATATTTCTCTCCTTTCTGTTGGCCAGCGTCCAACAAAGGTCATTCTCAACACAGTCGTTGAGCCAAGTGATTGCTCTCAAAAGTACTATCATTCTTTTGTCTAACACAAGACTTTTCTCAAGTTCCTTGCTCAGATTTAGTTGCTTCTCCTAATAGGATATTATCTAAAAATACAACTAAATGGCATTGAGTTTCTGAATCCAGGTTGCAAATGTAAATTAGGTTGTTTGCATCAACATTAAATCTACATCAGAAGCTAAGTATAAACAGAGTGCTAAGGCTTGAATAGAATCCCAACTCAAGAGAATTTTGCTCAAAGTTATTATAATCAGGTTAAGTCAAGGTCAGACCATTTCTACATTGACTAGTTCAGCAAATTGCTTCACACTAAAGGTGTAAATGTAAATGACTATTAAAACCACGGGATGGTGTCCAACCTTGATCCTTTAGACTCCCAGTAGCTGAATAGACATAATTAAAATTACTGCCAAAATACACTACATGGTCCTTC